TCTCTGTAACCAGACCACTTAGCGACTTGAAACATTTACCAATCGATTCCTGCCATAATTTAGAACAACATTGCCGAAGAAAGTTTTCAAAAATATCTTTTCGTTCGGTCACACAAAAATTAATTAAGGAAATCGCGCTTAAACTGTCACTAGACTTTTTATTAACTTGTTTATAAAAACACCCAGGCAAATGATATATAATAAAGCTAATGTTTCCAATTAAACATCTTTGAACTGTAATAACAGAGTAGTTGTAGATATGTTGACCCTAACGTCCAATGAACTGCTGCTTTTTATGGATATTCATAACTTCTATTTAATTTTCACAAAAAAAAATTTCATTACGGCCACAATAAAAATAAAACAAGAGGTATATTATTTTAATTACTTTATTGAAACAGCAAGGAATGAAAATAGTAAGAACAGTGATGCTTTTTTTTAAATAAGTTTATTTTTAAAACTATGCCTGACTGTAATGCTTGGTTAAACGGTCAAATATAAAATGACAAATATTTTTCTAATAACACAATGAAGGATAATGCTATGAAATGAACTGGTCTGATAAAGTGAATTTACCCTGAACATCAGCATACGTGAGCTAACGTAAGATACTGGTTGAGGTGTAGGCCTGTGTAATGTGAAGGAGATAGACGGCGTAACTTAATTAGGTTCATTTACTCATTTTCAATGCTTAACTATTTCGGTCACTAATTTATTTACTCGTTACACTCATAACGCTACACTTTATTCAGAAACTAATTATTCACCGAACATGATTGAAGCATAATATTTCTAAAATTGTTTGTGGCTTTTGTTTGGGTTGGACCAGCGATGTGTGGACGATATATGTTGGCAAGTAGGTTTTCTGCCTAAAATAGCTATAATAGTGTCCATTGTTTTGTCTATGTAGTTTAATTCGATAGCATGTGGATTATCTGATGGATTTACAAGGTGTGTGACGTCCACACACATTTCGGATTTTAGACAAACCCCTCTACAATGTCCACACGATTCTGATTTCAACGATGACCAGCCCACCCCCTTTCATAGGCATCACTTCGGGCCCTATGTTTTACAAGTGTAACCATGGTAATAATGTCTGCCAAAATGAACGAAACACATTGTAATTTACTTAGAGAAGTTTGTGGTTTAGTAACAATTTAATGTGAACTTTTATTAGATGTGGAAACCTAACAGCTTCATGTGGTGTACAATAATTTATCGACTCGTGCCTGCCTATCACAGTAACGGCCACTTGATTACACTGTCTTGAAGGTTTATATTGTAAAGGTCTCTGACTTGTGTGTTTAATAAGCAACATGCATCCGGCTTTGTCCGGATTTAGGAAATATACTACATTTCCAATTTAAATGCCAATATGCAAATATCTTTGGCTATTATAGTAATATCCACGTTAAGACATTCTATTGAACGTTTATACTTAATAGACAACATGCATTATTACAAAAAAAGCTACTCATTTAAAATCACAGGTTAAGTGGTTTTTTATTTTTATATTTGAAATGCTACGCGCATTGACTAAATCTTGATAGACGTTGTCTCTTGGCTTATTACATCAGCAGCACTTTCAAATTTAAGTTCAACAGAACTATCAGCAAATTCCACGAGACGTCAGATAAAACGATGTACATATGTCATATTTAATATTTTTATTGTCATTTTATAACATAAATATTATATAACTTTAAGGTAATTGTCGCTAATTCTTTTTTTTTAATACAGTGTCTACTCTTGACTTAGTTTAGTGTTATATTAATACAAATTGTAAGATACAACCCACACGGTTTATACAAGAGCTCTCATAACAGAACAAGTTGTTCTTTATTCAACATTGACAAACTTCCCACACTTGTCTGAGTATTGAAAAGATTGTTTTAGTTTCTATAGGTATGGGAAAGGGGTGGGGGGTGGGGGGGGGGGGGCAGGGGGGGGGGGGGGGGGAGTGATGTCGCCTGATTATATCGACAACAGGTAACTGGGACTTGTTTACAGTGTCAGTTTAATCGATTTTATTGCTGCATTGGCTCGTGAGGAGCACTACATCTTTGAAATAAAGACATTTCTCTCTTACATGTATGTTTTTTTATTAAAATTAAAAGGTATCAAAAGAAATCAGAATCCTGTAATGTCAAATCAGACGCAGCTGTTAGCTTGTGTTTAAAAATATATCCATTAAATAGATTAGTTTATGTGTATATTTGAGGCAACAAGTAATATTCAAAACCTTAATATATAAAAAGTGCAGAATAACAGTAATATAAAATAAGTTAACAGACAAAACAGTGAAACAAAATAATCTTAAACTTTGTTTGTAACTATCTATTCATTTTTTTTTTCTAAATATAAATAATTTTGAAAATAAAATTTGAGTTATGTCAATTTATTTCATTATAGTTTATATATGGGAAGTAACTCTTATGCTTATTTACTTAATAAATCCTTCGCAAAATTATTTTTAAAAATGAAATTTAAATTTTTCCTTTTTTAATGTTTTTGTATTTATTTCCTTATTTTCCTCGTAAGTAAATTTTATTCTGTCTTTAATTTATTCAGCCCACATAAATCACAGATAAGCTTGGGCTTGTCAGAACAAGCGCTAAACAGTTGAGCATTTTATAGAAGATGACTGTTAATAGCAACCAAAACTACAGACCAGCTAAGTAGATAACTGTTTATAGTAAGCAACCTGTCACCAACTCGATTTGTTGGATTGTATAGCTGCGGAACAGTACACACATCGTTCGTTACTTTGAAATCGAATACATTTATAAGAAATTGTGGCTAAAGGAATTTTATTTATTTTATTCAATAGTTCACAAATTAGAATTTATCTATGAACATTGTTAAAATAATAAATAATCAATAGATGTCGGAAAGTTTATTTTGAGTCGCTAAAATCTTGGTCAACACTAAACACATGTTTTCATAGTGAGGCATAGTTAGAGAATTTACACGATAATACTTCTACCGATGAGTATTGCTAATACCAATGTCTTGATCCAAATATTAAAATTGTGTAATGATTATAAACGTATTTTCGGTGTATCTTTCTTTTTCTCTTTAAATTCCAAACCATTGATCTAAAGATGGCCGCCTCAATTTTAATTTCACGGTAAATGTAATTTTCAGTATTATCTAATTTCGTTGAGTAAAACAGTTTTTGGTGTAATAACTGTTGTTTTTGTATTTTTTATTTCCATTTTGCTGAATAAATTAAATTGTCTAAAAGCATATTAAAAAAATGTTGCTTGTATTTTATGTTGTGTCTGCGGCGTAGCTACTGTAAATCTAACATAAGCAAGACATATGGACCCAAGGTATCTAGAGGCCATTTTCTCTCTTTGAAAAAAAAAATACTTTAACATAGGAATTTTAATATTTAATTAATTTTGATAATTTAAAATAGAAAATGGAAATTAACTTTCTTTTCTGCTAAGGAACATATTATTTTTTTAAATCCATAAAAATTTCATAAAATGAAAACAAAACACTTATTTTACGGGATACTACTTAAAAATACAAAAATGAATTTACTGTCAGTGCGTATACAAATGCAAAATGTGAAGATTATTTAGATTATTGAAAATCTCTCCCTCATAAATATGTAGTAGTAGATATCTTGACTTCACACTCCGAAGGGGCCCACTGATAATTTTTGTATAAGGTCCCGAAAATCATAGCTAGGCCACTGTGCTATGTTTCCATGCATGGTATGTTATTTTAACGTTTTCTTATTTGCTACTTCAGTGATACTTATTTGGGCGCCAAACCTGTAACTAAGTGATAATACAGATGAGTTTATTTTAATGCATTTTAGTGTCTATTCGGGCTTTTGTCACATTCGGGCTTTTGTCTCGTACGGGCAAGTGTCCATTCGGGCTTTTGTCCCATTCGGGCAAGTGTCCATTCGGGCATTTGTCATATTCGGGCAAGGGTCCATTCGGGAAATCGGCCTTGGGGCAAACGGCTTCCGGGGAAGTGTCTGTCGGGAAAAAATTCGGCTCCCGTTTAATTCCATCGATGGTTGGATGTAATTTTCGCCTTTATAAATGTATTTTTAGTTCCTAGTTTAGGTCTAGTCGTTTAAGAGTGTGTTGTGTGCTGGCTCTTTGAATGGATGCCAGTTTTTAAGGTGTGCTAATTCCTTGTAAAAAAGTGGGTCTACTGTTGCTTTAGTTTGGTGTTATAATAATAACACTTGTAAGATACAACCTCACTTTCTTCAATTTTGTATCAAACTTTCCAACTTGGCAGGTGAGGACTAATTCATATTTGCGAAAATAATATTTCATTCTGACATGTATTTTATTACATTTTTTTTATTTTTTAATGTGACTAAAAACAAGGGATTTTAATCAAATTTCCAGATACAATGCATGACGAAAAAAATGTATGTATGCTTCTTTCTTTCCATACAAGGAATGCATTCAATGCCACCAAACCTAGTCATATAAATAAACATCACAATGAATAAGTGAACTCCGAATAACAATGAGATACAAGTGTATATAGATGGAAAAAACCCATGTGTGCAAGTCAGTATAACTAGAGGTACAAGCAGATGCTCACAATATTTAGCTTCAACTAAATTACTAACAATGCATTGGTCTCCACCTCTTCAGTTATGGTAGGAGTAATTTTGTTTTTTACCTAACAATTCACTAAAACTAAAATGATACACCAATCATTTATTCGGCTATCACAGAGACTTATCTACACATTATCACATACTATCAGCAATCAAATTCAGGCTAATAAATATTTTACCTGCAAAAAATATACCTAAATTTCTAAAAAAAAAGCCTAGAAGGAAACAAATTATGTAATGTTGAAAAATAAATGCAGAAGAGTAGATCTTTGAACAAATTGAATCTGCAGGATAAATTAAAAGCATGAGCTGTCTGTGTCAATAATTAAATAAACATTAAGAATTCTACCCTTTACATAAAATATACAGATAAAGGTACAGACAACTCAATTTACAGCTTAACATTTTCATGAAGTTGCACTTCTATCCTAATGAGACTTTGTTGAATAGCGTCCATAGCTTTAGCACAGTTTTGTTTCAGCATGACATCCAGCTCTTTAAACTTTTTAGTTGTTTCTACCTGAATCTGTGCCCCACTGTTACTTTTCTTGCCAAGGATCTCTTGTTCATACTGTTTATAGTGATTCCCCTTCTCGTTTTTAAAGGCTAGGATTTCTGAATCTGCTTCCTTTTTTGCAGTTTTGATTCTCTGAGCTTTTCGTTTTCTTGCTTCGACTACTCTTTCTGTTGCTTTTTTCTCTGCGATTAGAAGTTGCTGAATCCCTTCTGTTTTCTGGGCCGTTTTGACTTTGTAATTAAGATACAATTCTGAAAGAGTATCACTTAGGGTTTTTATTTTTGTGGATATTTTATTTTATTTTATTATAACTATTCTAGTGCAACTGAAACTACCATCGTCAACCAAAAAGATTTCGCTTTTTATCAATTTGTATAAAACGAATAATATAGCTTTTATCGAATACAATATCAAATAAAATACAAACGTTTGTGGGAAAACAAAGGCTAAAGAATAAAATATAATGAACAGTTTTAATTCATATACAATAAAAAATAAAATGCAAAAGTGTTAACACGTTTATATCTATGTAAAAATGAATTTTGCTAAACTAAAAAACTTTTAAGGACCAATAGTAAGTTGTCTCCAATAGGTTTTTATAAAGTACACTTTGGTAGAATTTAAACTACTAATATTAGATTTTAAAATTCTAGATTTTCGCAACACTGTTGTAGAATGAATATTATGCATGTAGGGCTCTATAGTGTTTCCTTGAATTACGTTTTTAATTCGTTCTGAAGCATTGCTCGTACGTCAAACTGCTCGTATATCGAAGCGTTTTTCTTTTTGAAAAACCAAATAAAATGCCGAGTATCCGTTGCATCTCAAAATGCCACAGTAATTGTTTATGTTACGTGTTTTAAAAATAAGAATATTGTATCTATAAATGACACATTATGCTTATTAACACAATGAAGGATAATGCAAATAAATACACTGCTTTTATTGCGTGTAGTTACCTAGAAAATCAACTTACTTGAGCTCACAGAAGGCTCTGTGTAGGGGGGATGAGATAGACGGTGGCGCTTCACTTTGTTCACTCACTCACAGTTAATGTTAAAATTGTTCGGACACTTAACATTACACTTAATCTTTATACTTCACCCAACATAATTAAGTCTAAAGAATATAACGTTAACCTCTCTTTCATGCAGGATGTACCCAATTAACCTGTGAATGGAGGATTTTTTTTCTTCCCTTGAATACATGCTTTGTATATTAGTTATGCATTTTTGTTTATCAAATAATCCGATGCACACTCCGTTTCATCTTTTCAGTTTTTTTAATGAGCTTTTAAACTCGCTAATCCTGTTTCTCAAATTTTTAATTGTGTTCGTATGTTAAAGCATTTTTTTTTGCTCGATCGAGACAGCTCGTTTATTTAAAAGCATGTATGTCGGGGCACTTGTATGCAGAGGCGTAGCGACCCTTTCTGGCGCCCGGGGACAAACTTTTTGATTTGCACCCCCCTCAAGATTTCGATTTGCACCCCTCACCCCCCATCAAACTTTCGAGTTGCACTCCCCCCCCCCCCCCCTCAAGATTTCGATTTGCACCCCCCTCAAACTTTCCATATGCACCCCCTCAACCTTTCAATTTATTTTTCCTACCCATTTTGGCGCCCCCTGCCCCCCACTCGTTACGCTACTGTTTGTAGATCAAAATACCATAGTGTTTGTACATTAAATAATTGTTATAATGGTTTTGATTCACGGATGTACTTGTATGTAATACATATCAAATCACTGACATAATGCTACTGAGATGCAAGAAAGAAGGCCGAACAATTGGATTGCATTTAAGACCAAGGTTTTAATTATTCTCAGTATGTGCATACACATCACCATTTATTGATACCGCTTTACATCATCAACAATGGAATTACTCCCTCTCATGTTAACTGTAAGGCGAGAGCCAGTTAGAGGAGCCACTTGAGCCACGGCTTAAATGGATTAATGAAAACCTTTCAGATACAACAAAATCAACCATCTCACGTGACCTGCAATGTTGAATGAGGCGTAACGTCTTTTGTATACTTGGGTGGGAGGAGGAGGGGGGTCTAGATTTTTGTTACGATATATTGCTGTGGGGAAAATAAAGGGGAAGGATGGATGATAAAATACCCAAACAAGCGTTTCACAGGACAAGAACAGCGTAACATAAACCCCATAGTGGCCGGGTGTTGACAGAGATAAAACATTAGAAAGAAAAGCGTTGGTGATATATCCTGGTTTTATGTATGTATTTTGGAAAAAATTATGAAATTTAACATCGCTTAAACGTATTAACGTCTTTTTTATCTCTACTACTATAGACCTGCCTGTAGAACTAAAATTGTTGTATAGAAATAAACTAAGTAGGCCTAGTGCTAAACATCAGTGGCGTAGCGAGGTCGGGTGTCACCCGGTGCGGCACTTAATGGTGTCACCCACTAGAGGCGTAGCCGTTCCAGGCGCCAGGGGACAAACCTTCAATTTTCGATTTGCACCCCCGCCCCTCAATCTTTCAATTTGCACCCCCTCCTTCCCGCCCCCCCCCCCCCCCAAGTTGATTGGAGGGGTATAATGTCGTTTTCTGTTCAGAAAAGTGTGATTTAGCTTTCTTTCTGCCTTTCATACGTGGTTTAACAATTATAAAAGTATGTGCCTTTTATTCAAGCAGTTCTTGTGAAAGCAATGAATAGCATAAGACAACATATTGCTTACATAACTATGGTGCTGATAAAAAAAAAATAATTAATATGGACAGAGAATCACGATATTTCTCAAACGTTCTTCTGTCACTGTCAATCTGTAACAGTGTTGTAAAATTATTATAGATTGTATATTAAATATTACTTGAGTAGCTACTTCACATTTCTGATTTTAAAACATATGTAGGGGAATTAACTCGTACAGGTACTCAAATAATGTGTTTTATGTACATACATTTTAAGGTTTTATAAAAGAAAATGTTTTTTTTTTTATTTTATGAAGTAAACATTCATAAATCCCCGTTTACTTCTTTTTCTAGTCTTCTTGTGTACTCGTGCCAATAATTATCTGTTGATTTAAGTTTATCAAGAAACCTTTAAGAATTTTTTAACGCAATCTGATGACATGCAATATTTCATGCATTAACAATGCTTAGCTGATATTTAATGTCGAATTAAAAAACAATATTTCAGTCACATCGTATAAACTGCAATAAATCAGCTTTTTTCGACATTATTCCATGACATCAATAACTGTAATAAAAAGTCTGTCAATCTATTAACCCCGATGTATTGAGCCTACATGTCCTCTAATGTAAGAAACTAAAGCATACTATTTTCAATACCACAACTACAAAATACAAAGGTAGGCCTACACAGTATTTAAGGAAAATTAAAATTATCAGCCTATATTAAAAGACATATGTTATACAGTAAGCATACAAAATAGTACTATAAAGAGAATTAATGTCTCATATAATTTTCCTCACCTACACATATGACTTAAAACAAAATATTACAAGGAGAGTCAAAAGATTCATGTTAGCAGCTGACATTTCTCTAACCAGCACTGAAGAATATGTTGTTATTTGAAAATCCTAGCTTAAGTAATCAATTAACAAGGTTAACAAAAGTCCCGATTGTTGTGATTCGTCTATTAACATCAATTCCACATGTTATTTCTGGGAAACTTCATTAGACTTTTTAGATATAACAACAGAGTACACCGCGGACAAACAAATGAAATATTCAGACATACAAGTTGGACAAGACAATAGTAGCCTTAAGGCTCACTAGTGGCCAGGGTAATTAGCGATAGGGCGGGGATTGTGTGTGGGGGGGGGGGGGGGATGGTAATGATGTGTTAGCTCACTAGTTTTGTTCTCATTATCCTGATGGAATAACTAAAGAATATGAAGTAGGTATAAGTACAGGTAGGTCTATGTGTTTCTCTCTCTATCCATCTCTTTCGACTTACAAGCGGTCAGAGTAAATCCTCGCTCGGCAGAACTGATGTTTATTTGACCAATAAACGACAGCAACTAAAAAAAAAAGTATCATGCCACCTTTGTATTATTTTACTATAGCTGCCTAGGGACCATGATTACATACCCCTAGACAAAGACAGCTTTATTTGCTAGTGCCCAAGTTAGCGTCAGCAACCTAGTCAGCCGTTGACAACGTATCGAACCTCAACATAACAGTTAGGCATGCAACAACAACACTATTTATTCCTTTACTGTACCCTGCTAGACCTAATACAGCCAACAGTGTTGTCGTCTCATCAATACATTGAGATTCGAGTCTTAGTTAGAGCAACCTTTGTGGAGTTTTGTTAAACTTGTATTGTTTAATTTACATAAGTCACATCTTTAGTTACTTCTGTGTGTTTTTTTTAATAATAATTATTATCATCTCTAATATATGTATGGAAACAACTTAAAAAATAACCCAACACTATACATTTTTTTATTACAGTTCTGTAACATGGTATGGCTAACCTGATTGAACAAAATACTTATGTTTAGTTTTGGTAAAAAATGCAATTATTCGTCTAAGCTAGACGGTTTTACAATATAATAATGTAGAGTGAAATATATATATATATATATATATATATATATATATATATATATATATATATATATATATATATATATATATATATATATATATGTATATATATATATACACTATTATAAATTATTATGTAGCAATATTTACTGTATTTATTAAAAATAATTAATTAATAGTAATGTTCAAAATCATTAGATTTCTAAATATGTAATATCAATCAGTATGAATTAAAACATATATATGGGAGATAACTTACCCTTATATCCCCAACAAGTATTGCGATGTAGAGAGATTAAAATGCTGCATAATGTTTAATAGAATTGACAATTTCTTTTAAGTTTGATAATTCAATTTATGCAATATTACTAAGCGTTTCTCTTTTTGTTACCCATAATCATTATATCATTGTTGTATTTAAAATAAATACAACCTTTACAATAGTGTACAATCAAATTGGAAAAAATCCAAAGACTTACGATAAACCACATTACCATCTCACGATTTTATGTCCTTAGTAAAACACTATTTTCGTACATTAACCAACACATTCACGACAACTAAATCCTCGTGATATAAACACTCTTTTACTGTATTATTCCGCCCATTTCAACTATTCTAGAATATTCTACGAAACCACCTCACTCTCTCTCTCTCTCGAAGCTATAAACTGCAACGACTCTACAAGATTTGATACGACCAAATAAGAATCAATCACTGCCCAACCAAGTTTGTAATGATCGCAAGAAGCAAGGCCAAAGAACTACGAGAATGGATCATGTATTAACGTGAAAAAGAAAACCAAGAAACCGGAAGTGTAAACAAATGTACACGAAGTAAGAAGGACAAGGTAAATTCCAAGAGCACAGAATAGTGTGCATACATGTGTATAGAATTGTATGTATATGTCCATGTAAACCTGCTCTTGCTGCCCACCCTTGCTCGAGTGGGGAAGTAGGAAGAGAGGAACTATATTAAAAAAATAAGAACCACATAATCTATTTGAGCTTTATGTATTTGATTAAAAAAAAAACCTGTGTACATTAAAATAGGCTGTCAGCATTCTGTTTTGTTTAAAAAGATGAAGTTAAGTATGTTTTTTTTTCTGGTCTTGTGAACCTTGTATGCAAGTTTTCTAATCACTGGCCTTTTAATGTGTATATACTTGCTTCTTCTATCTTGATAAATTTCACCCAAACTGATGTCTATAAGTTAGTGTGTAGATTCAAGCAGATTGATTACATTCACCCAAACAATAGTATTTCAATTAAAATAATAATTTCTGCTTGGACGGAATTTTAGTACTAATTATTTAATTTTGAAGATAGCTCGTACATTGGTGCTAAAAAAGACTTGCGCCACACCATTAGCATCAACTTAAAATCTCGGACTAAATAGTTTTACTTATTACAAGTATTAGCTTCAATATACACTCAAGTTTATCAGGACAAAGCTAAAAGAAATAAGAGGTATGCTCAGAATTATCATCTGGCAATATCGGGACAAAAATTCTCACTGTCCGTGTTTTGATGTGTTCTTCAGGAACTCCGCTAATAGCAGAGATGTCGATCTTCTCATTGACAGTGATGGTGATGTCTTTGTTTGTTGATTCCTTGTTCTCCAAATCTGAGCCACTTGAAACTGTTACATTAGAGCTAGCCC